CTGGAGGGCCGCACCCAGACAGTGGTGGTGGATGGGTCATTTTCGACCTGGAGGGATATGGGCAGTGGGGTCCCCCAGGGCTCGGTCCTCGGACCCACATCATTCAACATCTTCATCAGTGACTGGGACGAGGGGGTAAAAAGCACCCTATTGAAATTTGCTGATGATGCTAAGATGTGGGGGGGATGTGGGCATGCTAGAAGTCAGGAATTGGCTGCAATCAGACGTAGAGAGGTTACAGGGGTGGGCAGATGAGAACAGGATGGGTTTCAACACTGACAAGTGCAAGGTACTGCACCTGGGGAGGAAGAACCAGCAGCATACCTACAGGCTGGGGAACTCCCTTCTTGTCAGTGCAGAGGCAGAAAAGGATCTTGGAGTCATTATTGATGCCAAAATAAACATGGGCCGACAGTGTGGGGGTCAGGAAGGCCAACCATACCTTGTCATGCATCCACAGATGCATCTCAAGCAGGTCCAAGGAGATAATCCTCTGCCTCTATGCGGCACTGGTCAGGCCACAGTTGGAGTACTGCATCCAGTTCTGGGCACCGCACTTCAGGAGGGATGTGGACAGCATGGAGAGGGTCCAGAGGAGGACCACCCGCATGATCAAGGGGCAGCAAGGCAGACCTTATGAGGAGAGGCTAAGGGACCTGAACCTGTTCAGCCTCCACAAGAGAAGGCTGAGAAGGGGATCTAGTGGCCTGTTACAAACTAGTCAGGGGGGACCAGCAGGCATTCAGGGAGTCCCTGTTCCCCCAAGCACTACCAGGAGTGACAAGAAATAACGGTCACAAGCTGGCAGAGGGTAGGTTTAAACTAGATATCAGGAGGCGCTACTTCACTGTCAGGGCGGCTAGGATCTGGAACCAACTTCCAAGAGAAGTGGTGCTGGCTCCTACCCTGGGGGGTCTTTAAGAGGGGGCTAGACGAACACCTTGCTGGCGTCGTTTGACCCCAGTGCTCTTTCCTGCCATGGCAGGGGGTTGTACTTAATGATCTGTCAAGGTCCCTTCCGACCCTACAAACTATGAAACTATGAATGTGCACGTTTATGTGATATTTAATGTGCAGTAGCCTATTTTAACTGTGATCACATGATTTTTTATGTGATACCTTAATACACATTAAAATAAGCTACTGCACATTAAAGTGCATGTGTAGACATGCCCACTGTTGGGAGTTCCCCTTCTGTAGGGTCATTGTCCTTCTCTTAGGTTAATATATGTTCGGGAGATCTAATTACCTCCATATCATTGCTGTGGCAGAGCACTGGAAATGCCCTAGTCTCCTCCTGCTTTTACTTATTAAAAGGTAGTCTTGGTGTTTTACGTATTGTGTCTTATATACATGTGTGAGGGTTTGCTCACATTGCTCCTTCCCAATTTTTCTGTCATTCTATGAAAACTGGCTAACAGAATGGGGAACAGGCCCAGTGGGAACTGAGCATCTCCCCCCTCCCCACCCTTGGGTTCCTTCTTTAAAGTCTAGGCAACATATATATGCCCCTTATTGGTGTTATGTGCTGGAGGGGGTGGTGATGGATTGGAGCCCCCCTCCCTCCCCCCCAGTGCAGGCTAGGCAAACCCCAGACAAGAGCTCCCTATCCTTCCTCACTTCCTGCAGACAGCATCAGCCCAGCCCTCATCAGGCAAAAATTAATGAAGGCACTCCACATTGGAGCACCTTTGTCTGAACCTTCATTAAATGAAGGTTGATTTGTCACATGATTGGTCACTTTTAATGTGCTCTGCTTTCAAGGGGCTTACACATAGCAAATGTCACTTCTGTCAGCACTCTCAGAGAGCTTTATAGTAGGAGCTTTAGATTACTTCCTCAATGCTGAAAACAGACAAGTTGACTATTTTTTAAACATAGGTAATGTACTATGCTGGGGCTACTCAGGTAATTATTTGTTATTCTGAGCATACTAGCGCATAATGTTACAGCAAATTGGTAGTTAGCAAGACCTGACTGAATATTAGTAGGTGGATACTTTGAATCAGATTAAGACGCAAGAATACTGTTAAAATGGAAGATGGTTGTGGGAACTGACAGGCTGGAAATACAAATGCCTATTTCGGAATATAAATTATTATTAACAGCTCTTTAAAATGCTTATGCAGGAAGTTAGAGTTTTAAAGCAGTAACACTAACAATATGTCATGTGTCTTTCCTATTTATCAGTTTTGTGTCTCCGCAGGACATTCCTGAAAGGGAAACAACTTTCATTTCTAATCAGGGTTACTTTAGCTAAAATAAATCTTTCTGCTATTCTCTCACTTCTGAGCAACTCTTGGAAATCAACTGCTAGGCACCAGATGGGTTAATGCAATAATACTTGTTAATGAAATGGCTGATGCTGGCCAGGTGGTATTGAGCTCAAAGTCAGTGCCAGGGCCTCCCCCCCCAGTCTCTTCATTTTTTTTGGATGGCAGTCGCACAGCCCCAGATGCCAAACTGTGGAAGCTAATTTACCAGCCAAGGCATCTGCTCCTTGGCAGACTCCATGATCCTCTACAGCGGTGGCTTTGAATTGCCTTTCCTCTTGTCACATGGTTAAATACCTGGGGGCTAAGCAAGGGGCCTACATTGCCTTTCAGAGCTGTTTCAGGAGGCATCAGTGAACCAAGGAAAGCATTTTCTCTGTAGATAATTGGCTGTACATCTCCTACATCCCTTTGTATTATGACTGCTGGGGGAGCCTGCACAGAAACAAGATCTTTGTTTCCCACTCCCCAATCCCATTCTCCATGCACACAAGCTGAAATCGTAAGTCCCTTGCTGGCAACATTAGGGTGGTCACTGTGGAAATGACTGTATTATCAAAGGCAGATGCATGAGATTGCAAGTTGTCACAGAGTGGGGAGAGGGGCACGGAATAAGCAAGTCAGCTCAGAAGAAAAAACACTGCTTGTGAGATACCCACATTCATTTGAATGAGGTAATGAAATCATAATAGGTATACACCAGCTGGAAGATAAGAAAAAATAGCAAGGAATGGTCAGTTGTTATAATCATTGCAGTAGAACGGTTGCTTGGCCTTGCCAGATTTGGAAGGCCAGCTCTGCAAAGGCAGGCTGAGACGATTCCCCTATTAAAAAAAGAGTGCAGTCCTGTACCAGGCAGACTAAGTACGAAGCAGGCCTATTTGCTATGAGCTTGGGAAAGTAGAAAGCAGGAAGTTATGCTGCTATAGGCTTTTCTTTTAAAGTCCCAACTCTGGGAGCCATGCAATTACACAAAATCCTCTTCCAATTAAAAAAACAGAGTTAAGGTCTTAGCTTTCCTCCCCACCTTGTTTGCAGAGAAAAAGTGTTTTGAAAATATAGATTCAAAGGACACTAATGACAGAAGGCAGATACCATATAAAGAATGCAGGACTTATTTAATTTCATGATTCTATGAGGCCTAGATTTTTCAGCCATGAGGGTCAACAATACTGAAGAGGTCACTGAGGGAGGAGCTGTTTGTGTATTTTAGTGCCATAAATTAATACTGCTTTCAAATACAATAGATTAATTTACATTTTGTGTAACATCTTTCATTCTCTAGATCCTGAAGTACTTTATAAACTACTAGTTAAATAGACATACCACCATAGGAATACGTCTGGGGTAGAAGGATATCATCAGCAAGTACACAGCATATTGAACAGCAGCAAAAGGAGAAGCCTTACATAAAACTAAATTTCTGTAGAACATCTTTCTTTGATAGAGGGATGAATGAGAGAGATCATTTACCTATCCAGAACCCGTTCTCAACAGATCTGAGTTTTAACATCAGTGGTTCTGCCATTTTTCAGAAAGTTAAAAGCTTTCTTGAGATCCCTGCCATTCTCAGCAGTACTGCCTTCTGAGAAACGGCACTCATGTCAGCCCTAATGTTAGGAGACAGTCCACCCAAAATGAAAGTTATTTGGGTTAGAAATAGGAAGTCAAAGATAAAAAAAACCCTGAAGGGAAGAATTAGGTAATACTGCAAGAGCAGCATGTGTTTGCATATTCACTCTTCCTTCCTTTTGAGGCTTTAGCACATACAACATCCCATATTCGGGGTTTGGGAGGCAGAGACATGCACACCTCAATTTTACAAGTCTTGTCAGTTGTAAAAAAAAAAGCAACAACAGCAGTACACAGGGATGCTTACCATTACTGTCATCATCTGCAAGACAGAAAAACTTTCTAACTCTGCTCAGGGCATTGCAGGAAGACATTGAGGTGAAGAGAAGCCTTCAGGGAAAACTGATATTCTCTGACTTCTCCTGATTCTGTTCAGGTGACTGTTATAGCTACTGCACAAAAGCAGAGCTGTTGTTGAGAGAAAATTTGGCTTCCTTCATCCCCTATTAAAAACAAATGCGAATGAGTATTCACCTATAACACCAAAGGGGGCCTGAGAGGTCACCTGGTTCTACCTTTCATCTCTGGTAGGTACCCTGTATCTCTGCCTTTCATTGCTATAAGTAACATCATGGCCCCTTAGAGCTGGATGTAGAAAGAGGTGGGAAACGGGGCAAGTTATTGCATTAGGGTAAATCATTCTAAGACAGGTTTAAACAGCTTTTAAACCTGGGGGTGGACTCATTTAGCTAAATCAGTTTTAAAACTGGCTTTAAGGTACTACAATATTGCTGCATATTAGTTGGAGTGAAAACTATTGCAGGCAATTGCATTAGGTTTCATTTACCTGGGAGTTTTGCCCTAACCAGAGACTAGCTGCTTCTATTTTGTGAGGAGGATGCACTAATACTACACATTACTAAAATACTTTGCCCCTCTGTAACATCTTTCTTTTGAGGATATGAAAGTATTTTCCCAAAAGGAAAAACCTGGGAAGGGAATACTGCTATTTTACACTTAATTAAAAAGTCCCACCCTCTGGAGTTCTGAACATGTGAATGAATCTTAGCTTATTTTTGTTTTTTAAAAAGCCTTGAAAACATGGCTCAGATGCATCCCAAAGGTGCAGAAACCAATAGGTAAATGACCCCTCCCCCCCAATGTATATGTTTTCTTTTTCTAATTGCAGAAGGTGTGATTTTGGGGGTTCCTGATTCATGATGTTCAGGTGGCAGAGATTAGCAATGCATTGGATTATCATTTTTAGAGTAGTAGAAGCACATGCATTTTCTGTGCTATCATGGAATGGAGAATGGCTTGCTTATTCAACCCACGGGGAGCCCAATTCCTTACGCAGGTTGAACATTCCCAGATGAATGAAATAGACTAACCTCTGCTTTGCCAGCTCTTCCTAATCACCCTGATGATTGTCAAAAAATTCCCTTAAGCAGCCCAACTGTTTTTCAGGCTCCTAAACTTCTATCAGCAGGGCTCATTTTGGAGCACCCTGTTGACTCATTTCCATCCTTAGCCCCAACTGTCAATCCACCTCCAACTTTTGGAGTTCACCCTGCCCCTACCTGATATTCCTCTAGAAATTACCTTATTTTCAGAGTGCTAAGCGAGCAAATCAAACAGCATGTCAGTGGCAGAGTAAGGATTAGACCTCAGGTCTTCTGACTCTTATTTGTCCTTGTTCTGACTCTTAGCTTAGACAAGAGATCTTGCTGTGTACCAAGATCTACTTGGCAGCCAGATGTGAAATTGGTCTCTTACCTAGAGATGTCTCTTTACCCTACTCTCCTCCTGCTAGGAAGTAGTTCCTTAGTATGCAGGAAAGTAAATCCAGGGCAAGAAGCAAAGAGGTCTTTCAAAGCAGTTGAGTCTTTTGATCTATGAGAGAGGTGAGCCAGAGTGCATTACTGTAACCTCCTGCTATGTAAAACTTGGGCTGCGTGATGGGACTTCTGGCTGCTTAGTGGCTCTGAGTCACAGCCTTTACTGCTTGGGTTTCATGTGGATTTTTACAACAGATGCTGAGGAAGAGAGGTGGCCTCACTCACAAATATTTGCAGTGTTTGGCAGGCAAAGGTAAATGGGGTGGATTCAGAAAGTTCTGGCTAGGGCAAGCACAGCTTGGTGCTAAGGTGTCTGCAGAGAGAGAGAGAGAGAGAGAGAGTGGGGGGGGAGGCAGGGGAAGCAATGTTGAGGAAAAAAGCAATGAAGTCCCTTGATATTTTTTTTTTTTTTTTTTTTAATTTTCCTAGCAGGGTTCCTGGAAAGGATGAATACCCTAGAGATTCCCTGTGAGTTTTGGAGTAAGGAGTCTCATTGGCTTTCAGGGAAGCCTGTTCTATTTTTGGCTCTCAGTCTAAAGCACTCCCCCTCCCCCGGGATTGCAGGATGCATCTCCCTCTGGAGCCTGCCAATGCTGTTTTGTTATTGGCTAAGGGTTGTGCTTATGCCCTATATTGCTGCAGTTTGCCAAGGGAACTTCGGGTCCAAAGGGCATCATTCCCTATTGCCTCGCTGCATGTGCAGTGCAGGCTGCAGGCAACACAAGCAACATTTTCTATGCTGTTCTAAGGCTGTGAAGGGAAAGCAGGAGTTACCATGGTTCCAAGTTGTGCACAAAGCACCTTTGGCATCTGCTCTTTGAATCAAGTACTTGGTTCTGACTTGCTGTTACTCATGCTTTCACTTTCATAAGCATTAACTGTATCCACAAGACAGTTACAGCAAGCATGACCTCTAAACAGTAGTCACTGCTGTTTGGCCAGTGTCTTCAGATCTTTAAGAAAACATCTAGGAACCTTCACGAGCACTTACTAAGTTCTGAATCCTTTGCAAATATTATATAATCAGAAAAATAATTTTTGCCCCAGTTGTACAGGTACACGTACACCCAGCCCCATGTGTAAAATGCATTCTTGGACAACATAGGACTAGTCAGATCTTCCTTATCTGCTCCTACCTTTGCCAGCTGCTGTCCCCCAAACAGCTTTTAATCACAGGAGCAAGTGCAACTAACAATCACACTAATAATCAGGGATCCTGTTTTCTCTGTTTAAAAATCACAACTTCTCTGATAAAAATAACAAATTCTCTCATTTAAAACCCTGAAATCCATGGTTTTTTTTAAATGAAATACCACTATATACATAGATATCAGTTGAACACAATGTTTTAATGATATATTTACACTTTTAAAGCAATTTGGAAGCCTGCCAGTGCCTCAATCGCTATAATAAAATAAATTCTAAATACTTATAAGTTTTGGCATTTGATTTTTGGGTTTTTTATCATGGAAAATCAGAGCTCCCCCTGTCCCCTTCATTCACCAGCATGTGGGTCCAGCTGTGGCTGTCCCATTGCCCCCCCCCTGCCGTTTTGTGGTGCTGAGCAGCCCTGGTAGGACAGTGCCCTGACCATGCCATTTCTCCTCACTGCTGACCCACAGCCCCTCTGCCCCTGCTTGTGCCACTTACATCCCACTCACAGCCCCCTGCACCCACCAACCTTACTGGAGGCAGCCCCCAGCTGTCAGGGCTATGGGGACAGGGACTCAGTTCCACAGCCCACTCCCCCTTGCTGCAGCACCTGGGCCCTGGCTGCCACATATGGGAAGCGGTGGCCACTGCGGTGGAGCAGAGTACACAGCTCGGTTCTCCCTCCCCCATGGGCAGCACAACTAGAGTGGAGCCT